TGATAGTTATCATCAGCCCTTTAGCTGACTTCGGGCTTCAAAGAGAGGAGAAGGAACAGTAAAATGACAAAAAAATCGAGAGGGGGAACAGAATAATGATTCACAGATGTAAAAGAGACAGATAGGCATAAAGTTAAAAAGAAAAGAGAAGATGGGTACTGTAGAAGTTGTCGAATACAACATACAGTGGGGTTTGAAGTCAGGAGTCAACTGCCGGTTAATAGACATTTTTGCCGTATGAGTACACGTTTCCTAGGGTGTATCACGTGGAGGTAAGTCTATCACACACCCCGAACCTCGGCGACATTGTCAGATTCAAGATTTAAGTCTCTGATTCTTACCCTTACACTACTCTAGACATAACTAAATTGACACCGAAATATAAAATTTCACAAAACCTTAACAAAGATTACTAGTAAAGATGAGTTAAAAAACAGGTCGATTTGTAATATAGCGAAATGTTAAATCAATAAAATAAGGAAATTTGCGCAGACATGGTACTCTCAGAAAGTTCGTCCAAGAAAACTCTACTACACTGAGAGAAATGTTCTTGTCAGATATATGCAACACTGAAGATGATAGTACTAAATACGTAAAAAGTTTGTTAAAAAAGTTGTGCTCTAACTATATAAAGTTCTAAAATTACACGTAGAAAGTTGTAGAGAAATGCTGCCGAAAATGCACAGGAATGATTTAACCCCCCGAACTAAAGGCCACAAATATATTGATTATACAGGCTTTAAAACAAATGATAGCTGAGTTGAGAACGCACCTTGCATATTTGGGATAGGTAAACATCGAAACTCTGAGAGAACGGTCTAAGACTGGCCAAGTAGCGGCAGATGAGATAAGCATCCTCATAGTCAATTGAACCCTTGAACATGACTCGCATGGCCTGAGATTGCTTCGTAGATGGAGCAGCTGGTGCTAGTAGCATCATTCCAGCTACCTTTGGACGACATCTCGCTCTCCAGATGGAGGTGGGATCTCGCAGACGATCCATCAGATAGGTTCGACGGAGTTCAGCCAATTCAATTTCAGAAAGAGCTTGCTCTTTCTCCTCACCCTCACCTTCGTCCTCTGGCTTAGTAGAAGTACCGCGTTTGGTTCTTCGACTAGGTATGGGCTTTGGTTGTGGTGGTTCAGGAAGATGGTTTTCAGCAGCCGCAGCCTTTTGCGCCCGAGCGACTTCAGCAGTACAATCCTCCAACCACATACCCATGTAGAATTTACATGCATAGTAAACAACCGGATCGGCCGCATCCTCAAGAAGGTAATCCAAAACAGCATCTCTAAGGACAATAATTTTGTCGATTCTGGAGAGATTTGTGGATGCCTTTTTCTTCGTGGAGGGTTTCTGCTGCCCTTCTTCGGGTTTTAAGTAAGAAGTCCCTTTTTCGATTTTGTGACTTTCGTCCTCTTGCTCCCCGCCCAATTCTTCTTCGTCCTCACTATCTGATTGACTACCTTCAGTGAGTTCTCGAAGAATAACGTCAATGTCGTGTTCTTTCAGTTGACTCGTCACAGCATCTCGACGAAGCGTTGACGCGACTGTGCCGAGATAGTCTACACTGGTAACCCGAACAGATTGGTCGAGGGACTTATTGTTGAACTGTTGAACTAAGAGACTACCAAGGAGACTCAACATAACTTCAGC